CAAAGAAGAGAAGCTTCATCCAAAAAAAAAAAAAAAAAATCCCCCCCAAAAAAAACGATCCGGAGCCCTTCCCCTTCAGAAGAATAGCAAGAAAAATATGGAAAACAAAGAAACAAACAAACCAAAAAAAAAAACAAAAAACAAGCGATCTTCCTTGGTCAAACAAACAAACAAACAAAAAAACTCGCGCTGGATGTAGGCTGAGAGCATGGGACTCGTACGGAGATCCCGGGGTGCGTGTGTGCGTCCGCGTGTGTGTAAGTGTGTCAGATGTAAGCAAAGGCACCGGCAACTCAAACTAAACCGAATCAAAGCCGCCTTCCCGCTTTTCCTAAACTTTTCCTTTCGTTCGGTGAACGGGAGCGTTCAAATAACTTGCAGCGACAGGGCAGGTAATGAGGGAAGGAAAGGATGGAGGAGGAAAAGAGGGAAAAGGTAGGTCAGGGAAAAAAGGTCGCTTTCCGACGTGCATACAAAGGGAAAGTCCGAGGCAAGAGGTGGGGGAGAAAGAAAGGGGAGCAAATGTTCGTCAGTAGGTTAAAAATTCCTCGCAATATCCGATCTATGTGTTAACAGGGAGAAAGAGAGGCGCTGATAAAGCTGAATTCATCTAACGATGTATTTAGTCATTCATCTGCTCCCCTCTAACCGGCACCTTGACCCATCAGAAATTTCTGTATCTGTGTATTTTAACCTCAGCTTTATCAGCTCAGAAGTCCTTGAGCTGAAAAAAAAAAAAAAATGAAGCTGGTAACTCAATGAACATTGTTTCCAAAATCGCTAACAACGCCCTCCTGTAAATAACACCCATTTCGAGAACTCCCCCAAATCAAAAGCAAACCTTCCTTCTTCCGACGAGCTGAGGAACTAAAGCTCCCCAAACAGCGGAAGAGACGAATAGGACCGTATTTACTGTACTTACTTTTCCCCAAATCTGGCTTGCAGTCATACAAAGCTCGCTATGTTGTTCTTTCCACAAATACGTAGCGGTCAAAAAACCCGAACTCTGTAAAATTAAGAAAGGCTTATTTTATTCTCTTAAAAACCAACCAAACAACCACCACCATTACCAACAAAAACCATCCCAGAAACTCCATTCACATTGGAGAGGGAAAACAAAATCTTTTTTTTTTTTTTTTTGCTTTGAAGGAGGAAAACAACCCAACAACCCAACAACAAAGAACATTATCTTATATCTCCGAAGAGGAAAGCCCTAACTATTTAAACCTGACTTTCTCCATTAAAATTCACTATATATATATATATATATTTGTTATTATTATTCCCTCTCTGGGCATTTTTAGGGATCTCCTTATGTTACCCCCCTTAAAAAAAAAAAAAAAAAAAAAAAAAAAAAAAAAAAAAAAAGAAAACCTGCCATTCACTGCTCAGCCCAACTAAAACCTATTTACTCCTTTTTATAACCACGTCTGCTGCTGATTTTTTTGTATCTGTACAAATTTTTTTTCATTGGCAGGCACAAAGCCTTGTATTTTTCAAAGAGGGGATTAGGAACGTTTGCAAGACAGCAGACAATGCCTAAGTCCCGGGCAAAAAAGCACCATAGTTTATCCAATTTTCGACTTAGTGCCATTCAACTGGTCATTTATGCAATGTCATCCGACCAAACAACATGTTTCCCTTAAAAAAGAGAGAGAGAGAGGGAGGGAGGTTGGTTAAGCTGCTAGAGGAGCATTCTTTTTTGTTGTTGTTGTTGTTGTTTATTTAAAGAAGAAAAAAATAAACAGGATTTCTTTCGAAAACGCTGTTCTTTCGATCACACTTTATTTGAGAACAAATGTCCTCGTTTCCCCATTTAACGTCTTTGTACCCAATCTTTGCTTTATTTTTCCTCCTCCCTCTTTTCCCGAGCAGATGAGGGAAGTGTGTTAGGGTATCCAAAAATCTGAGCGGTGAGAAGCTGAGAATATTAATATTTATCTTTATGATTTGGCAGATTCAGAACAAACTTAGACGCTTGCGACTGTCACCTTGGGCTCGGTGGGAAGCTTTTGGGGACGGGTAGAATCAGGACGAAACACAAACCATTTTAAAGCAAAACTGTAGCATAACCACCCTTCTCTCTTTCCCCTTGGTCTTTCTTTTTAAAACGTTCATCAGCATATGCCTCATTTCAAATGCAACAAATGTAAATATACTTTTCCCTGAACAGAATTTTAAGTGAATGTCCAATAGTTTCGAGGGCGGTTTAAGTCAGCCTAACAGATGCAAACAGTCTTGGAGCTGGAGTGGCATCTTTCAGTGCCCTAAAAAGATTTTCCATGGGCAACAAAGAAAACTGTCACACCTTTTCCCATCACCGCTTAATTTATGCTCAGTCGCCAAGTTTTTTTCATATTGATTTCATAATCACTTTAAGGCAGAACACTTAAAATAAAAAAGAGCCTTGAAAAGGAAGGTCTTACAGGGCCAGCGCCAATATGGTGAAAGTGGGGGAGAGAGCCAGGACTGTAAAGGTTGTTTTGTAAAGTGGGGTTTTTATTATGCACCGACTCTCTCCGCATTTACTTAACTCTTCACGGGCTGTTGAGTAGGTTAACACCCTTAAAGGCCTCTTTCATGTCCAATACCTCGTTTGTTTGTAGAGGAAAATGCGTCTTTAACACATTTCCACTGGGCAAAGATTTAGGTTTGGTTTGTTGTGCTTTTTTAACCCCCAACATAAGGAAAACCCAAAGAAAACCCAACCTTTTCAAGTCTTTTATAATTCCAATAAAAATATTTATTATGGAGGGCGAGGATCCCCACATAATAAGACTCATAACAGGAGAATAAAGAACTGAGATCTCCTCAGATGTGCACCAGAAGCAGTAGACAGGCTTTTGAAGGTTCATCATGCCACACTCACACATGGGTGCCGGTGTTTGTGCACATAGATGCATATTCATCCTATTCATCCCCACCTATGCGGACATAAGCACAGAGACTCGATTCCTCAGCCCTATTGTTACACTCATACGACTTTGCATAGCGGCAAAGCTCGGTAGGTCTTCTGTCGTTTGTGTTCTTTGTGTACTTCCACGTACACTTTGTAAGTCGGTACGTTTGTGTCACTAAACATACTTATGAATTTAGTAGTGTGTGTATATATACATATATATATATATATACATGCATATTTTTATGACTGTGTGTGCAAATGTAGAGTACGAGCACACTCTGCTTGCAAGGGTATTTAGTTGTCCCTCTATTCTGCCCATGTAACTGTCGATTTACTTCCCAATCCAGAAGAAACTCCTATTTAAACAGAAGGAAAAGTGATAATTGCTCTGCATTTCGTGGGGTAGGGACAGACTGCAGGATGGCGGTGTGATTTCTCCAGACCACTTGAGTTGGATGAGAATAACTATGTTTTCCTAGCTCACTCTAAGTATTGTTCTTGAGCAAATCGTGTAACAAAGCAAAAGCTAAGTGATCCGTCTGTGGGTTTCTGTATCTGATTTTTTTTCTTTCCTTTTTTCTTTTTTTTTTTTTTTCCTCTTTCTTTTTTCTTTCATTTTTTCCTCGTTACTTAAGAGCTCAGTGGAGGCCCAGTGTGGACTTGTACTGAACGGACAAGGTGGTGTGATAAGAAGAGGTAAGATGTTACAAATACCTGCGTCTATCAATATTTGTAAAGCTGAAACCCTCTCAATTTCTCTCTTTGTCCCTCTTCCAATGTTTAGTTAGTTTTTACTGCCGAAATTGTGAGCATTTGACATTCGTCCAAATACGTTTAAAGTAGCTTAGAGCACTTCACATTTCACAGTCCATTTGCACTTTACACGTGATTTGTTTATCAGTAGCTCTCGGATACTCCCGTTGAATGCAGGGGCTTTCTTGACTCATTCTCTCATTTCCCATTTAACTGAATTGATCCCTGGTAATGAGTTTGAGAAACGTGCTCGCTGGCGCCGGATTTTTAAATAGGCAGTTTCGTCTCGTATGGGGAAAGGAAGGTTTTTGGAAACGTTTCAATAGAGCTATGTATCAATGTGGAACTCGTTTGTGAACTTTGTTTGATAAGTATCTGTCAGTGAAAGTATCTCAAATTAGAAGAATGATTGGGAATTCTCGCTAAATACTCATTTAGTCACTCCTTTGCGGGATCTGACTGTTCTGTATTTTGTTATTGTTGTTATTATTATCATTTATCTTGAAAAGAAACAATAGCAGTCTAAGGGCCTGACGAGAGAACACCTTCTAACAAGCTTAAAATCACGCTTTTGTTCGTAGTATAAAAGGAATGACAGAGTCGGAGGAAGTACACTTTGTGACTCAGCCTCTTGGAATACGCATTTCTTGCCCCATTCTTGTCTTTTCTTAGGGAGAAAAAGAAAAAGAAAAAACGGGGGAAAAAAATATTTAGAAGATATTTTAGATGATTTTATACTTCGGTGACAGATAATTGACTTTAGCCACCGCTTCTCTAGGCAAACTTTACGGTCGCAGTGTAGGGACACAAGCGTGTAGGGAGCGAGCGCAGATAAAGAGAAGGCGTACACGCGGTTATACCCTTGTACGAAAGAGAATTTGACCGGCAGCTCAGCATCATCATAATTTCGGGGGTGTTCTCGCCTCACAATGACTGGGATCAGGGTGGAAAAGGACAGCGCGGAGCGGCTTTGTCTGGGCGGAGAGTCGGGCAACGGCGGGGCAGGGCCGGCTGCAGCGGCCGGAGCGCGGTGGTGCTGAACGGACAGCTCCCGTAGCGCCCGCCCCTCCTCGCCCCGCCGCGGCCGGAGCTGGGCTCGGGAGCAGGGACTGGAAGGGTTGAGGGGAGAAGGGGGACGCGGCGTTTCCCAGCCCATTCCTGGAGAATGCTGGTGGGTTTTGTAAACTCTTGCCCGACTCCCGCTGTCGGTGTTTAGGTCTTCGTCTCTCGGATTAATTATTTTCGGATTTGATCCGAGAGCTGACCTCCGAGAAGCAGAGATCGTTAGCTGGAAGAAAGGCAGAGTTCCCGTCAGCTGGGGTTTGAGTCTGGAGTGTTTGACGGT